TACTTCCGGCTTCCACATTTCCTTTGAGTCTCACAACAGCCTTTTAAAGACAAGCAGACCTGGTAGCATACGCAATTCAGAGGTCCAGAGAGAACAGGCTGCATATAAAGATGCACAGCTTTTAAGTAGGAAATAGCATAAAAGAGGCATGACCCGTTCCGCTGGTGCTTAGATCAGAGCTTTTGCACACTTTGGGCTCTGGCTTCAAAGACCTTCTTCCTCCATTATGTATAGAGCTTGAATCTTCAGGACCCCGGCGTCTAAGCATGCTGCAGAATATCTTTTTCAGTGACTTCGGTTTTTACCTAAAAAAAAAAAATGCTCTGCTTTTCAGGGCATGTCCATGGGATTGTACATACGTCTTATCATTTTTGGTCAGCTTATGAGACTGCGAGGCCAGAGAATGCTCACTTATTGAATTAGAAGGAGACAACGAGCCTGGAGAAGAGAAAGCCAAAGTGATAACAGCTGAGGTGCATGGAACCCAGCCCTTGTCCGCGGGGGAAGGACAGATCAGGCCATTTCCACAGTCTGTGCTCTACACCTGACACTTTTTTCCCACTTTATTTACTGATCTGGTACGTGTCTGCCCACTGTTCTTGTCCATTTGTCAATTTGCCTTCACACTTCCTTTGGGAAGACAGAAATGTTGTAAAGACTCAGTACCTGGCAATAATGTTTGCTGTCACTGGACACTGTTCTGACTCATAGCTCACAAATGCTGGCAAGGATTGAGAGAAAGGGGAGCTCTCACATGCTGCTGAGAGGCAGTGTAAATTAGCACAGCCATTATAGAAAACAGTCATTTAAAAGTTTTGAATATAAAATTTGAAAAGAGGAATGCTAGTGATTAGCATTTATGGACAATTTCTAGGTGTTCTCATCAGCATTTCATATGAATTTTCTTACACTCAGTTTTCACAATAGGAAATCCATCAGATACTAGTGTTACTAACTTCCTCCCTATTTCAGAGACTAGGAAACTGGAGTACAGAGAGGCTAAGGTGCTAGTTCACAGCACTAGACATGGAAGTTCTGAATTTTGAACACCGGCCATCCAAGTTGTCTACAAAAAAAAATAAATACTCAGGACCTGGGGCAGGAAAAGGTTGAGGATGTGTTTTGTTTGTTTTCAGCAGCCCTCCAAATAGCAAAAAAGAAAATTTTGTTCATCTCTCTGTTCCAAGTTATCTAGCACGGCGACCATAAAATAATGAATTCCTGATGAGTCAATAATGTAATGGAAAGAAAGTCCCTGATGGCTGGGAGAAAAATGATGCCTCTGGCTAGTTTCCGGCTGAGAAGTGGCGGGCACTGGCATTTTGAAGATCAAAGTGGCCTGGCCCAGGGACACGTAGTCCAGTTACAGTAACTCCTACTCTGATATCCTGCTCTGTAATGATGTCCAAAGCCTCCATTGTTTTTAAAGGTGGTGAAAAGTCTTGAAGTCACAAGGCCAGCCCACTCCATATGGGCTCAGTGGATGGATTTGTCAATAGGTGGCAGAATGATTCACCCTCCACTGGTAAAAAAAAAAAAAAAAAAAAGCTTTTCGAAGGCTCTTTGTGGGACTTCCATCTCAGAATCTTATCCTTAAAAGAATCTTTAAGTTCAACACATCTTTTTGCAATCATAACATATTTACTTAATCTCTAATACAGTGGGACATACCCCTCCAAGAATTGGGAAGACTGGAATATAGCCTCATATACCCATATTCTTGTGACTTGCATCCATTCCAAAAAGGAACACTGGTCGGGGCCAAGTGTACCAAGGACTTTTGCTAGGAGAACCCTTGTTATGAATACTTTCTAAGTCCTCTCCATAACTGGGGACACAAAGCTATGCTACCCATGCTTGGCTATGAGGGATATGAAGGTCTTTAACTACTCTAACACAGAGATACACACCCCTCCCATCAAGACATCTGTGTGATACAATAATGTAACATGACAATATCTCGAGCTCACATGAAGTGCCAGGTAACTCCCCCTGGGAAAACCACTGACTTGCCCCGACCAAACTTCCAAGCAGATTGTTTCTCTCAAAGCTACTTTTCCTGAAGTCTGGAACTACCCTGAATTTACACATATGACCTACAAATATTGAACGTGTTATGTTGGGCTCATGGAAACAACTGAAGGTTTCTGTAAATACCATGGCACTTACATTAATTTCATGCAATCCCAAGAATCATTTAATTTTACAGATAGAAAACTACTAAAGCCCAAAGAAGCAAAATAAATTGGCTGATATGCTACAGCTGATAAATGATAGAGCTGAAATATGATCCCAGGTACACCTAGCTTCAAAAATCCAAGCTTTCTCTTTCTTTGGTTTCCAATTTTAAAAACAAAAGGCCCAGCTGGTGCCGCGGCTCACTAGGCTAATCCTCCACCCTGCGGCGCCAGCACACTGGGTTCTAGTCCCGGTCGGGGAGCCGGATTCTGTCCTGGTTGCCCCTCTTGCAGGCCAGCTCTCTGCTGTGGCCAGGGAGTGCAGTGGAGGATGGCCCAAGTGCTTGGGCCCTGCACCCCATGGGAGACCAGGATAAGCACCTGACTCCTGCCTTTGGATCAGCACGGTGTGCCGGCCGCAGCGCGCTGGCCGCGGCGGCCATTGGAGGGTGAACCAATGGCAAAAGGAAGACCTTTCTCTCTGTCTCTCTCTCTCTCTTTCACTGTCCATTCTGCCTGTCGAAAAAAAAAAAAGACCCTCATTTTTTTGGTAGGAACTTGGGAGCTTCTACTAAAAACTAAAAAAGAAAATAATACTGAATAACACTACAATCGAAGGAGATCCAACATGTGGGCATATTTGCTTCTAATCACATGTCATGCAGTTAATGCAATTCATTGACTAATTCTTTGCTATTCTTTGAGTTCATGCCATAACTTTTAATAAAAGACTTCTTAATCACATAATATTCAATATATGCATAATTAATGCAGGTTTTCTCATTAACATTGAAGATTTTTTTTTAAGATTTATTCCATCCATTTGAAAGGCAGAGTCACAGAGAGAAAGAGACAGGGACAGAGAGAGAAATCTTCCATCTGCTTGTTCACTTCCCAAATGTCTACAATGGACAGGACTGGGCCATACTGAAGCCAGGAGCCAGGAGCTTCCTCTGTGTTTTCCGCATGGTCACAGGGGCCCAGGGCCTCAGGCCACCTTCTGTTGCTTCCACAGGCACAACAGCTGGGAACTGAACCAGAATTGGAGCATCCAGGACTCTGACTGGCACCCCTATGGAATGCAGGCATCCCAGGTGGTCAGGCCTTACCCACTATGCTACTACACCAGCTCCCACTTCTGAATTTTAATAATTATAAATAACGCTAGAATAACTCTTGGACTGAATTATTGGTGTTTAGTTAGGATGAATCCTAAATTTTTTTTCTGTTTTTAATGTAGCTTTTTTTTTTTTTTAAGATTTATTCATTCATTTGAAAGTCAGAGTTACACAGAGAGAGAAGGAGAGGCACAGAGAGAAGTCTTCCATCCACTTGTTCACTCCCCAGTTGGCCACAGTGGCCAGAGCTGAGCTGGTCCGAAGCCAGGAGCCAGGAGCTTCCTCCAGGTCTCCCACATGGGTGCAAGAGCCCAAGGACTTGGGCCATCTTCTACTGCTTTCCCAGGCCACAGCAGAGAGCTGGATCAGAAGTGGAGCAGCCGAGACTCAAACCAAATACCCTATGGGATCCTGGCACTGCAAGCGGCGGCTTCATCCACTATGCCACAGCACCAGACCTGTGCTTTTTTCTGTTTTTAACGTAGCTTCTTTTCTTCAAATTAAGACCCTTTTTCACCACCACTGTCACGACCACCCCAGAATCTTCCTCTGTTTTGTTTCTACACTACCATGTCAAGTTGCTACACGGAGGTTAAGACACCACTGGGGGTGACAGCATCCCAGACCCTGGTGCCTGGGTTTGAGTTCTGGCTCCTCTCTTTTGGATCTAGCTCCCTGCTAACCTGCACCCAGAGAGGCAGTAGGTGATGGCTCAAGTCCTTGGGTCCCTGCCACCCATGTAGGAAACCCAGAAGGAGTTCTAGGATCCTGGCTCCCACCTGGCTCAGCCCCAATTGTTGCTAAAATTTAGGGAATGAACCAGGGGATGGAAAATCCTATCTCTGTCTCTGTCTCTGTCTCTCTCTTTCATATATATGTGTGTGTACATATATGTATGTGTGAACATATATGTCTATGTGTGTATACACATGTGTGTATCTCCTGCTCCCTTCCTCCCTCTCACTGTCTTTCAAATAAAATGAAAATAATCTTTTTTAAAAGATGATGAAGGAAGAAAAGGAAGAGAAGGAGGAAAAGAAGAAGAAAAGGAAATACCTGGACCGTAAGAAAAGGGAATAGAATGGAGAGGGCTTGGCATCTGGAACCAGAACAGGAGGACTCCTGAACCAGTTTCCTTTTCACTTGCAGCGTGATTCTGGCCCTTGTTTTCTCACCTGGAATGTGGTGCACTAACAGCACCTCCCTCAAAAGATTGATGCAAGGATTAAATCAGATAAAACATGTGACAAGGACTTTGTAAGCCATCATGTGTTCTCGCAAATGTCAGTTGTTGTTACCTTTAGGCATGCTGACAGATTTACAGCTTTCAAAGCAAATGAGAAAAAACTGGCTTACGATTTTTTTTGTTTAGCTTTGTTCTTGTTAAAGAAAACCTAAATATTTCTTTTTTTAAAAAAATGTGCGAAATATTTTAAAAACCTTTGGTGGAAATGACAGTTGTCAAAAGAATATGTCCCTAGTCCAGCAAACTTTCATATCATCTTGGAGATTTTGAGGGATTGTGCTCACAAGCTGAATTAGCAAATCCTGAAGTCTGTTCACAGGCACCAGGGAGCACGGGAACCCAACCCACCCAGATGCAGGGCAGGAGCCACAGCCAGAGCTCAGCCCCTCCCTGCTGGAGGCAGGTCCCAACTTTGGGCCAGACTGTCATTGGCCCCAGCTCTTTCCCAAGGCACATTTAATGATGCAGGAGGATGCTGCTGAGGCCAGCCAGCCGGGAAAGCAGTGAAGAGAGAAAGGTGGTGGAGCCTCCATCAGGGCAGAAAAGATTCAGGACACTAAGAGAAGCCAGAGGCTGGGGAGGGGCTCACTGTGGGGCTTATTAGGAGGCAAGTAGACTACAAAGTCTTCTTTCTAGGGGTCATGCTGCGTTAGAATGAAAGGGAAGAAAAGTGGTCATTTTAGGAACCAATCAGAGAATTAGCTATTTCAGGAGTCAGCCAGACATCTCAGGGATTCAAGGGCAATGAAGCTTGAAGAAAAACTCGAGTGCAATGGGAGTGTGGTAGGAAGGAGTCAGCCATACCTGGGTGAAAATCACCAGGCAAATGGGAAACCAAAGGCAAATGGGAAAGCTGAGGTCTATGTTAAGCAAGAGGCAAATGGGAAGTGCAAGGAGCCCAGGAAAAGTCTCAACCTGTACACCTGGCAGGAGATCCAGAGACACAATCAGGACTCGGACCAGTGGCTGGTGATCAGTCGTAAGGTTTACAATGTCACAGCCTGGGCTGACAGGCATCCAGGTGGGCGCCGGATCCTCAACCACTATGCCGGGGAAGATGCCACGGTAAGGAAGTCCAAGTCTCTCTCTCTCTCTCTCTCTCTCTCTCTCTCTCTCTGAGCTACAGAGTGCCTGAGATCCTGGCTGTCTTCCCAAAAGCACTCAAGTACATGTTCAGGCTCCACAGTCACTCATCTCCTCCCAAACCAATTTTTCAGGATTCCTATCTAGCAAGAATCAGGAAGCAGGTTCAGTTTCACGGTTCAGCTATTGTTATATGGGCTTTGAGATTATCTCAGGCATTGACGGTGAATACCATGTTTGTCTGTTCTGGGTTTGGTTTTGTTCTTGGTGTTTGGCTTTGCTTTGCTTTGAAGTGAGCCCCTGTCTGGCAAAAAGACAGTTGCAAGTTGGTGAGTATTACTTGGGGGAAAGAGTATCTGCACACAAATAGAAATTCTAAGACTCTTACAATTACAGTGTCTGAAGAAAATAAGCAGTTCACCCAGTGTCATCAAAATGCTGTTATGAGGATGATAGCCAACAAATACCTGCATTTTCAGAGTTTGAAGACCTCCTTTGCTTCCTGTAGCTCCTTCAGTGGGATACAGATGATACAACCACTTTCACGGGCAAATTCAAATGCTCTGCTTCACTTAAACCTCTCCATGAAGAAGCTACATGTTACTCATGTGTTACAGATGAAGTGGCTGATAGTCAAATGGTAAATAATAGGTCATTCCATCAGCAAGTGACAGTGCCAGATTCTGAAATAAAATTAGCATGACTGTAGATTTGTACTATGGCATATATATATATATGAATAGATATTAAAAACATAAAAATTCCACTTAATATTTGATAAGTGTAGTGATATTTGACTGTAGTTTGACTATGGGATATATGTAAGGATATATATATATATATATATATATAAAAAACACAAAAATTCCACGTCATATTTGATAAGGAGTTCTCCCAGACTCTTAAGTGCATTTAAAAATCCTGTTAAAATATGAATATTCCACATAACATTTGATTTCTCTCAACTGGGAATTTTATTTTCCATATTGCGCACATGAGGAAACAGAGGTAGAGGAACTAAACTACTAAATCCAGGTCATAAAAATTAACACATAACAGCATAGAAATTCCTCATCCCCTTCTCTGTCTAGCCTCTGTTCTTCCCCCATCTTTCTGTTTCATTCTATATTCTATACCCTCAACACTGTCAGATGCTATTTTTCAAAAAAAAAAAAAAAAGTTCAACCTTTCTTTGAGAAAATGAACAATGGCTTTTAGCAAGAGATGTTGCATGTATTTGGAAGGGCCATTACATGAGAACAAGGAAAAAATTAGCAAATATGAAATGGGAAAAAAAAACTACAGACTCAACTTTTCACAACTCGGGGAATATATGGATCAGTCTTTTCACAACTAAGAGAAAATATTGATCAGTCACAGAATTAACTCAAATGATGTATTGTCGAGGACATGGACCTTTAAGCATCCTGAAATGAACTGATAGTCTCACTCAGTGTGAGGCAGCCAGGGGAGACTGCTGTAATTTGCTGATGGTTGTTCATCTCCCGGAAGTCAGGAAAAGGAATTGATCAATATAATAGCAACCTTAAAGATCAACACCCAGGCCATCAAGGATTCGTTTTGTCTTAGACTCCAGGAAAGTAAATCTGAAAGACTTCAGAGAAAAGATTTTCCAAGGAAAGATGTTTCAAGAAGAATGAGGAGTGGGGGTTCCAGGAAAATTCTGGCAATCTTGGAACTCCATGGCCACGCAGGGCACAAAAGATCCTGAGCTTCAGAATTGGTTAGTGAGTATGAGAAAGTTATCCAAGCTCTCAGAGCTTCAACTTATCATCTGCAAAATGAGAAAGACATTACCCATCTGACTGGTTTATGGTTCCTGTATGTAAAGTGTTTGGCATCATGACAGACACAGTAAAACTTCATTAAATTGTAGCTATCATTATTGACATCACAGGCATATACAGTCTCAGAAGTGTGACTGGTGCTTGCTGTTTGTTCACCATTGGCTTAGAAAACCTGATGATGTTTGGTGTCATCTGACTGCTACCAGAGGAGCATGTGATAAGGAAACATCACTCTCTGTAGTGAAGAACAGAACATAGTGGCAGAGGGCCGGAATTCAAGTACTCTTTCCCCAGCTTCTGAGGTGTTTGCAGGTGGTCCTCTAAATGGCAAATATGGACCAAAGTGCAGTCTCTGTGTGTCAGCCCCAGCCCCACAGCTGCACCTGCCCAGAGGGAGCATCCTTTTCTTATTTACAAAGAGATTCTTTTCCCGGGACTCATAAAAGGTAGATACTGATACCTGAGTAGTCTGTCCCATGGGGTCACTAATTCATTCATTCATGCGGTCAGTTCTTCTGAAACCCTTATTAGGGTTCCAGGCTAATGGCTGAAAGTACAAGTTTGGGAAGGAATTAAGTCTAGTTTATCTCTGGGCAAAAAGGGAACCTCTGAGAAGATTGTGTAAGTTATTGGAGTCTCATCTTATCTAAAAGATGGGAATAATCATAGCTTCTTCTTGGCATTGTCACAAAAGTCAGTAGAGAGAAAATGAAGTACTCCTTACAGTTCTTGGCACAGATTACATTCTCAAAAAATAAGAGCTGTTATAATTTTAAAAATTATTTTAATTTGTTTATTATATAAGGTGAACAGATTTCCTCACTCCTCTGAGATGGAATTTAATGTTATCCAAGAAATTTTACTAAGAAAAATAAACCTGCATGCTCTTATTGCATGCACAGATTGGAGTTATCTGGTTGTTTTCATGCTATATAATTTAAAATTATTGTCACTGCACTAACAGCTATGGTGTAAGTCTGTCACTTTGAAAAGGGCAGAGCCAACCTGAAACTCAAAAAAAAATTTGATTATATAGATTATATTAGAAGTACAGGTATGATGAGCTATTTTGCAACCATTAAAATGAGTATTGCAAAGCATTTGATGATGGGAAATACATGTGAATAAATAGTTGGCCACAAGTTTGTCTAAGAAAACAGTATGAACCACTTCAGGCAAAGAGTCTCCCATGTGGCTTGGGATAAGTAGGGCCAACACAGGCAAGGCTGGGGCAGCGGGTAAGAGGGCGTGTACAAAGGTGGAGTACACATATGATCCATATCTCCAGAAAGCACCCAGCCAACTAGTCACTTTCTTTGTTTAGCACAATGCTGGCCAAAGTACGTGCTCAATTAATACAACTATCGTGGCATTACAATGAGGCAAGAAAAAGATGGAGAGAAGATGAAGGGAGAAGAGGGGCAGGAAAGAGAAAAAAGGAGGAGGGGAAATTATCTTGAGTGCTTGAGCCAAGAGGATTGCATTTTACCTTTGCTGTGTGGCTGCCTCTCCTTCTACTACATACACGTGATGATACTCACCTAGCACAGCACTGCTCCCCACCCCAACATCACAAAAACAAGCCAATGTTTCTCAGATGCTATTGAAAGGGAAGAAATAATGGGTAATACTTGCATTTTCCTGTGTTGTTAACATTTTGTAAATGGTCTGGTTCTCACTTGAATGGTGCTTCTAGTTGTAAAATAGATGGAGGAGAAAGATAAGGAAGTCTAAGGGCTAACAAATGAAAATGGGCCATGAGGAGATGATGACTTTCTGAAAAGGAAGCCTCCCAGTTAACTAAAAGATGAAAATGGTAAGAATTGGTCGACATGAAGATCAGAATAGAGCTCGGAGAATTCGCTGAAGACCCAAACAAGGCAAGGACAGCAAGAATGGAGAAGCCATCAGGGAGAAGGATTTTGATGGTAGACAGTTGATAATAGTTGTCGAGACTGAGTGTGGATAAGTAAGCAGGATGAAGGAGTCTAAATTGCCGTAAGGATATCTGACTTGGGCAACAGAGTAATGATGTCCATTACAAGATAGGGGAGCCAGGAGGATGTGTAGGGTTAGAAGAGAAGGTGGAGAGACAGAGAGGGACAAGAAAGTGAGTATAGCAAAGAGAGAAGGGGGACAGAAGTTGGGTTGGAAAAAATTCAATGTAAAGAAGAACTTCCAATAATGAAATTTTCCAAATAATTGAATGAGTTGCAGTGGGAAAATGACCCTCTTCTTGTTCCTCTGGGTAAAGAGAAATCCAGACTATTGGAAGCAGAAGAAAAATTACCCAATAGTCTGTAAATGGGGGTCTTGATCTGTGGTTGGGTAGAGAATTTTCTCGTGAGCTTTTGTGAGGTGACTGAATCAAGGTCTACAACCTAATTATCTGGTTTCATTACTACATACATTTTCCATGAGTATTTTCTAAATTTATGTTTGTCCCCTAGTGAAGTTCTCATGGGAAATTTCAACTGCTTCAATTGAATGAAGTGATAAGGATAGAGAGTTGTGAGCAATTATTCATGTTTTATTCAAAAGCCTAAACTCTTATTCACTAAGTTGGTCCTCAGTAGGTTTTAGAATGACTGAATAAATGAATGCAAGAATTAATGAGTCCATGAGGCAGTCTGGATAGTATTGTCTACATTTAGAATACAGAGAAATTAACTTGTTCAATATGAAACAGCCTACTCTTCTGCTATCCTACAATGTGCCTTACTGTGGATAAAGAAAGGCACGGTTTTTGGATGATTATAGCCCCCAGTCTCACAGTTTGGCAAGGGGAATGCCCAGTGGATTGCAGGTCAAGTGTCTTCATGCAGAGCAAAACATATATGCAGCATTTAAGTTGCAATAGCAGAATATTATCTCAGCCTTCTGACTTTACCTACTTTTCTCTTCTGATAGGAGTCATACTACCTTTATAGTAAATTACATCTCTCCATCCCCCAACAAATAACAGCAAAAAAAAAAAAAATAGCATGATTCCCAATATATTTGTCAAGGCAAACTGATAACTGCATCTTTCTTGTGTTGATGCTATCTTGTAAATAATCGGTTTTAAGATGAGTTTATGAGTAAGCTAAGGAATGGGGTTTTTGAATGAAAAGGGAGTCAAAAGGCTAACTAGAGGGCTGGCAGTGTGGCGTAGTTGGCAAAGCCTTGACCTGTGATGCCAGCATCTCATATGGGTGCCAGTTCACCTCCCAGCTTCATTTCCCATCCAGCTACCTGCTAATGTGCCTGGGAAGGCAGTGGAGGGTGACCCAAGCACTTGGGCCCCTGCACCCATTTGGGAGGCCCAGACAAATCTTCTGGCTCTTGGCTTCAGACTGACCCAGCTCTAGCTGTGGAGACCATGTGGGGAGTGAACCAGCAGATTCTCTCTCTCTCATCTTTCTTTCTCTCTCCCTTTCTCTCTGTGGCTCTGCCTTTAAAATAAATGGATAAATCTGAAAAAAGGGGAGAGTCTAAATAATGAAAATGGGAAATGCCAAAATAGCAAAAACAGAAAAAAGTCAAAAAATAGAGACTCTGAAGGTAGGAAGATGGTAGTGCTTAATAACTGTATCCTCTGAGCCTTACACATCGATTATCCCAACTCATTATAAAATTGCTCTATCAACCCACCTTCCCTTTTTCATTAGGCATGTGTTGGTCACATGCTATATTCCAGGCACAGCCATTGGCATAAACTATAGTGATTAATTATATACATAGACCCAGTGCTCAAAAACTTTTTAAGCCACTAAAGAAGGGACAAGGATACAGATTCATTGTAATATAATGTGAAAACCTCTAGGAAAAAAACATCAGAAGAGCCCAAGGATGATGATGAGTAACTTTCCTAAGTAAATTAGTGGAGGCAATACTTAACCTGGATCTTGAAGGGTGAGGAGGACCTTGTATGAGGAGGAAATGGACAAGGTGGTGAAGGAAAGGGAAGAGAATGTGTAGAGGGACAGGGGATGATTATTGAACGGGAGGCTCCAGTAGAGAAGATAACAAGCAAAGGGTAAGTCTAGGGAGGTAGGATGGAGCTGTAGGCAAAGAGCTTCATGTGACTAAAGCCTAAGTTGAAGAAACATCATTACCTTCTGTCCAGTAGGTCCACACTGATCTTAGCATCATTCCAAAGCAATCTATCATTGTTCTTTTCTTGAGAAGCCTTTCAGAAAAATAATTGTCCATGTTAAGGCTGCAATGGGCCTTTATGGCTTTATGCATTGAGTTCAAATCCTGGCTCTGCTTTTGCCTTTAACATTTCAAGGCAAGACATCTCTCCCCATTGAGACTTGTTGTCCTTGTCTGTACAACAGAAGTGATGGTCCTCACAGAAGGAAGGTGATGGCTATGAGCCCACCCACAGACTGTCATGTGCATAAGACTCATGCTATAAACACTGGCACTATCCTCTTCTCCATATCATTTCATCCCTTCTCCTTTCTTCAGCAGGATGGTCTTGTCCCAGAATGTTGATGATAGCATCTGGTTTTTGTAGGCCTTTCAAGAAGGAGGCTTCACAACTTACTTGGAATCCAGATTCTGTCAGGAAATTCTTTTAAGTAGAAGGTTTTAAAGCTATTTAAAGTCCTTTGTTCTAATGCATGGAAATAATTCACTTAGCATACCCACTATTCTAAAAACTTCTGTAGCTTATTAATATCTATTGTCATAGTATGAACCTATGAACCTTCCTAGGGATCTGAAGAAACAGTGAAACCAGGACAATGTTACTCTCAAAAAACTGTTTCAAGACTCTAGATGGCAACAACAGGAGTCACTGTGCACTTACTCCTCATGTAGGATCTCTGTCCTTAATGTGCTGTACATTGAGATTTAATGTTATAACGAGTACTCAAACAGCATTTTTCACTTTGTGTTTCTATGGGGGTGCAAACTGTTGAAATCTTTACTTAATGTATATTAAACTGATCTTCTGTATATATAGAAAATTGAAAATGAATCTTGATATGAATGGAAGGGGAGAGAGAGCAGGAAAGGGGAGGGTTGCAGGTGGGAGGGAAGTCATGGGGGGGGGGATCCAATGTAATCCATAAGCTGTACTTTGAAATCTATATTCATTAAATAAAAGTTAAAAAAAAAAAGACTCTAGATGGCTGCTCGGAATAAGATGAAATTGCAATCTTTTACATTCTTCTGCACCTTGATCACAACCCAGCAGGATATGTCTCATCCAATCTGCTCCAAAACGATAAGCAGAACATGTTTTTTTTTTCCATTTGGATCATATTGAAATATTTTAATCACTTTTTTAATCATTAAATCACACTCTACCTGGTTAAGGAAATGAAGTTTTAGTATCAGAGATGTGAAATATTAAAAGCCACCTTTGAAACCATATGGTCAGAGAAAGTATACAGAAGCAGGATGAACCCCGGAGCTTGGACCTTTTCTAACAGATAACAGCCTCTTTGCATCACTGCATCCAGACACCCTTAGGTGAAGTGAATCTAAGGAGTTGATGTTGCAGAGTTCTACTGAAATTTATTAATTATATGAGCATCTTCTTTCAAGTAGGCTTATAGGTAGTTCCTGGTAAATTTGAAGTCACTTCAGGCTTTGAAAATGTAGAATTCATGATATTCACTAAAATAACTCAGAGCTCACTCTATATTAGGCATTAGGATACAGGAAGAAAATAACTGAAATGGGAGCCAATGCTGTGGCGCAGGAGGTTAATCCTCCACCTGCACCTCCAGCATCCCATATGGGCGCTGGTTCTAGTCCTGGCTGCTCCTCTTCTGATCCAACTCTCTGCTTATGGCCTGGGAAAGCAGTGGAGGATGGCCCAAGTCATTGGGCCCCTGCACCCACATGGGAGACCTGGAGGAGGCTCCTGGCTCCTGGCTTCGGATCGGCACAGCTCCTGCCATTGTGGCTGACTGGGGAGTGAACCAGTGGATGGAAGACCTTTCTCTGTGTCTCTCCCTCTCACTGTCTGTAACCCTACCTGTCAAATAAAAAAAAGAAAAAGAAAATAACTGAATTTCTGAATTGAAGATAAGGTATGTGGTAAGTTCTTATCACTACAGGTATACATAGCAGAAAAATAGCCAATATGTATTGCAAAATTGGTATGTGCCAATCGGCATTATAATTAATTCATTTAATTATTGAATTAGTGAATTGAGTGCCTATTATCATCACTCTCATCTGGGGAAGAGAATGCAGAAGCATTGTTGACAAGTCTTGTCTATTATTACACTGCTAGTAACTGCAAAGCCAGAATTTACATGTAGGAAGATGGTTACAACCTATTTTCTTTTTTTTTTTTTTTTTTTGTTTTGTTTTTTTTGTTTTTTGTTTTTTGACAGGCAGAGTGGACAGTGAGAGAGAGAGACAGAGAGAAAGGTCTTCCTTTGCCGTTGGTTCACCCTCCAATGGCCGCCGCGGCTGGCGCGCTGCGGCCGGCGCACCGCGCTGATCCGATGGCAGCAGCCAGGAGCCAGGTGCTTTTCCTGGTCTCCCATGGGGTGCAGGGCCCAAGCACCTGGGCCATCCTCCACTGCACTCCCTGGCCACAGCAGAGGGCTGGCCTGGAAGAGGGGCAACCGGGACAGAATCCGGCGCCCCGACCGGGACTAGAACCCGGTGTGCCGGCGCCGCTAGGCGGAGGATTAGCCTAGTGAGCCGCGGCGCCGGCCTACAACCTATTTTCTTAACCAGTACTATGCAACACCACCTCTCCACAGTGAATTGTGTGAGTTTCATACACTCAAGTTACAACTTTACGTATATTTCTTCATTTGTAATCACTCCCTCTCCCCAAAACCATAATCACAAGAAGTCCAGAATCTCCCTCTTGGAGAATCCTTTTTCCCCTAGAATTATTAAAATTCTTGGGAGGGAAGAGTCTCCTCCAAACTTAGGTGGGATATGGATATAGGAACCACAGTTGCTTATCATTACTACATGGAATTGCTACTCAACCTGCATCTTAGATAAAAATACAGCTGGTGGGACTGACGTTGTGGTGCAGAAGGTTAAGGCACTGCCTATGATGACAGCTTCCCATATCAGAATGCCAGTTCAAGTCCCAGCTTCTCGACTTCTGATCCAGCTCCCTGCTTATGCGCCTGGGAAAGTAATAGAAGATGGCTGACGTACTTGGGTTTTGGCCACCCATCTAGTAGAACCCAGTGAAGTTCCAGGTTCCTGGCTTCAGCCTGGCCTTACCCTGGCAATTGTGGTCATTTAGGGAGTGAACCAGCAGATGGAATATCTCTTTCTCTCTCTGCCTCTCCCTTTCTCTGTGTCACTCTGCCTTTCAAATAAATTTTTAAAATCTTTCTTAAAAAATACAGCCAGTCACCTCTATTCTGTACCTGGTGCACCAAGGCCTGGAACAGATCGTTACAGCAATTTTACAGTGATAAGATTCTCTAAGTGACAAATTTAACCAAGGGCTTAAGGGCTGCTCTCCCTTGATCTCTCATGTCTTTACCTTAAGCCACAATTGTCAGTCTAACCTGTTCTTCTCTAGAAAAGAGAAGAGAACTTGGTCCTTGACCAAGAACCAAGATGCAGCCAACGTGCTTCAGGTAGTATGATCGACCTCCACACCAAGACTGATGTTGGATTTTAAAGCTTCATCATGGCCCATAAGTCAAGTAACTGTTTCTTCTGGTGCTCAAACAAAACAAAACAGTGATGTCATCAATACTCCAGGAGAATCTGGCTATCATGGTCATTCCTAAAGAAGTAACGCATTCAGTAGGTGGGCCTCCAGAATGAGGCTTTCATAGCGGGGTTCCCAGTATAATTTTGATCCATCCACTTATAACATCAACCTGAGTTGGAAGTAAATCCTCTGTAATGGGAGTCTGTGCCAGCGCCCAGGCTAAGCACAGGATGAGGTATAAAGACAGGAACCTGTATGTGGATAAACATGTCTCCTAAGCCTCTAACCATCTCCATGGTTTACAGGATGTTTTCAGAGCCATGCACCTGGAACATGATGTTGTACAGTTGTACCTTAAGCCACTGCTCATTGGTGAGCTTGCCCCAGAAGAACCCAGCCAGGAGAGAAACAAAAATGTGAGTGTGGTCACAGACTCCAAGTGTGTGGAGGGATGGGGACAAGGCATTGTTTGAGAATATTGTACTATTTTCTACTAGAAACTAGGCATTCTGCCTGGATGAGCCCACAGTACAGTACAATCATTGTTCTTTAGCCATAGAAGATATTTTCCAAGATCCCGGTAGATTCCTGAAATTTTGAATAGTAATTGAATCCTATACACAAGCATTGAAAACACCATGATAATCAATCAGATAACCAAATTGGCTGTTAAGTGATCAATGGTGGGTACTACAGACAACATGCATTGTGGACAAAGAGATGATTCAAACCCCTGGAAGGATGGAATGGAACAGTGTGAGAGTTCATCATGCTACTCAGGACTGAATGAAATTTAAAATTTCTGAACTATTTACTTCTGGAATTACTCATTTAACATTTTCAGACTGTGCTGACCTCAGATAACTGAAACCTTGGAAGCACAACCACGAATAAGTGTTGCTACTGTAAGTGAGTGTATTCCACATATTTTGAAAACAATGCCAGCCTCTTTAGAACCTCAGAAGTCTTAGTCCTCTGTGATACAAACTAATGGAATTTTTGGCCCTGCACCAAACAGTAATTTCATGTTCTTAAGCACCTATTTCATGCCAGGCAACACACACATATAATTTTTTTTTTCAGTGACTGCTTGTAATTATGCACTTAATGTCTACGTCAGTGTTCCCTGCTAAACTAGGTTCCATGAGACTTGAAAATATAACTATCTTGCTTAACCATGTGTCCTTAGAACCTACCTACACAGGATCAGATATGTAGCAAGAACTCCATGAATAGCTATTGAATGAAAGATGTGGATATATCTTAACTACTACTCTTACTACTTTTGGAAATATCATTCAGAGAGAATATGCTGCCTTCTGAAATTCCCACGGCTGGTTCTGGTGTATCACAGACAGGGATTGTAAATCACTTTTCTCTGACCCCCTCTCTTCAGGTATTCCCAAGAATGCATGTCATTCTTCCTGTAACATTGTGACTCCATGCAATTCTGTCTTCTAAAGAACAGGGTCTCTATAAGACTAATAATTCACTGTGATGATTTTACCTACAACTTAAAAATGTTTTACTAAATATCAAACAATTATGTTTTTGGCCATTTAGTTTTTATAACAACTTATATGGCCTGATTCTGAATTCCTTTGAAATTCCTTTTACAAACTACTGATCCACATACCATCATAAAGCAGATAGAGAAGGTTTTATTCCCTCTTTAGGAAAGGAGGAGATAGACTCACAGAGGGTATCAGGATGAATCTGAGGATATGGACCCAGATATGTGCAGATCTAAGATTAACACTTAGGCTATCTCCTCAGGCCCATGACATTCCACACAGGGGACGCAGCCTGAACTCACACCCTCAGCAAGCTTTTCTCAAGTTATGAGTTTAGTTCACTTCCAGACCTCTTCATTGCTGCTTTTCTTCTTACAAAACGGCAACAGCAATAGACCAATTTCATAAGAAGTTGGGAAGATGACTGAAGTGAAGTCACTTAGGACAGTGTTTGCAACATATGAATGCTTAATACAGTTTACGTACTATTACCATGGATCCATGGTTTTATCAGTAATCTACAAACTTCCAGTTATATTCTTACTGTTTGGAGCAGGTGATGTTAGCTTAAAAAAGGAAAGTAATAAAAAATTTAATTATTTCTTAAAAAATTCTGTAAAAAAAAAACTCTAATGAATGAGAGCTAAAGATAATCAATTAATTCTAAAAGAATATTTGTCTCTCAGAAAGGTCTACCATACATTTTCTTTAGGACATCTATGCAGATATTCAAGTTGCTCTATATAAAAAATACTAGTGTTGAGCACAAAACTGGGTATCAGGAGGTTTGAAGTCCAGTATCTGTCACTCACCGATAATCTATTCTGGGCTTTGGTGCCACCCTGCTCTGTACAACGAATGAATTAGGACAAATGACCAGGCTGGGAGACACCCAAGGAGTGGCCAGTAATAATAGAGAATGATTAAAATTATCTATGACCACTTAGAATGGCAGATGTCCTAAACAGCTCTCTGGCCTCAGAATCAGCCCTTAAGGCATTCGGTTCTGGCTGAAGAGCCCCTGAGAGTATTTTAGCCATGGAAAGCCAAGACACTCTGGCGAAAAAAAAAAAAAAAAAAACTAAATGAAAGATCTCTGTGAGATCCCAGTGGAAAGAACGGGCCATCAAAGAAGGAGATACCTTTCTCTGAAGGGAAGAGAGAACTTCCACTTTGACTTTGGCCTTGTCTAAATAAGATCGGAGTTGGTGAACTCAAAAGGCTTCCATAGCCTTGGCAACTCATGACAAGAGCCTAGGGTGATTACTGACACCATAAACAAGAGTGTCAATTGTTAAATCAACAACAGAACTCACTGTGCACTTACTCCTCATGTAGGATCTCTGTCCTTAATGTGTTGTACAATGTGAATTAATGCTATAACTAGTACTCAAACAGTACTTTACACTTTGTGTTTCTGTGGGGGTGTAGTCTGTTGAAATCTTTACTTAATATATACTAAATTGACCTTCTGTATATAAAGATAATTGAAAATGAATCTTGATGTGAATGAAATGGAAGAGGGAGCGGGGGATGGGAGAGTTGCAGGTGGGAGGGAAGTTATTGGGGGGGGAGCCACTATAATCCAAAAGCTGTACTTTGGAAATTTATATTTATTAAATAAAAGTTAAAAATTTATCTATGACCACCAATATTCCAAGGTTATTGGAGACTTGGAGGAGAGATTATCTAGACTTTTGTATGGAGTGGATCCTTTAAAAGTTACATTAATGAAGTTTGCAATGAGATTTTTGGCTTTGAAAATTATTTCCATGGCATTTTTTTTCTTTATTACGATTTCTCTCCTTTCTCACATTTGTACATGCTTGTTACCTTTCTCATAACCTAGTTATTTTGTCAAGAGTCCTGTTTTATATCCATTATAGTCGTTAAGCCAAGACATGTTTCTTCCCACCCATGCTTACTCCCTGATAAGGTGTGTAAGCTTGTAAACCAATGCTCGCATTTTACAAGAATATATACACAATACATTTATGAGAACCAGTGTAACCAGCAGACACACCCCAAGGCCACTAGAGACATCTTGTTTCTGGTGATTTACTGGAAATCTCTCAAAAAAGAAAAAATTGATCCTCAGAGCTATTCAAGGTGAACTATGTTCTTTGTTGATCATCTACTATGAAAGAGTCCTTTGTACGTATTGAACACTTTAAGACTTGGAAAGCACTTTGTAAGCTGTACCAATAACCATGGTAACACAGAACTGTATAGACAATCAAGTCCTCCAAAGTATGACCAGAGATCAAGCAATTCCTGAAATAATATGGTTTTAAAGGCAACTAATGGTGGCTGGCACTATGACATAGCTGGTAAAGCCGCCATCTGCAGTACTGGCATTCTATATGGGTGCTGGTTTGAGTCCTGGCTGCTCTCTGTTATGGCCTGGGAAAGCAGTAGAAGATAGCCCAAGTCCTTGGGCCTCTGCACCCGCTAATGAGCTAGCATTTCTCTCTGCTGACCATTCCTCCCCTTCCTCTCTTGCCAAAACTAGTATCACTGGGCTCCACAACAGTTTGAACAGTGGAAAGTCACTACTCATCTTTCTCTTCTCTACAAAACTATAAAAAGAAACTAATCATAACCTTTCTTCAAAGGTTTTGTTGTTCATTTTATTCTTTTGCTTTTAATTCTGAGCAATTAAATTTATTGATGCTAATAAAATACTATTAATAAAATAAATATAGTAATTATATTAATTGATATAATAAATTATTAATGATGTTCAGAGTGTTCCCTTTCCACTCTGTAGGAACTAATTCCTTGTTTGCTTATTTATTTCACAGTCACAGTTGGTGGAAGATTTCCAAGAACTGCGGAGGACATTAGAGGCTATGAACATGTTCGATGCTAACTTTGGGTTCTTCTTCCTTCACCTCGCCCAGATCTTGATTTTAGAAGTCCTGGCCTGGCTAATCCCATATCACTTTGGCAATGGCTGGACTGTTACAATATTCGTTGCCTTTCTTCTCACAGTTTCTCAGGTAAGCAGATACCGTAAACCCAGGCAGTGGCCTTGAGGAAAGGCGTCTTTTTTTCTTCCCATTTGATATTGATGTCAGCCACTGCCTGACACTTCTTGCGAAGCTGCTGGTCAGTGTTAGACGTGTACCAGCAAGTTAAAAAATGTCCTTGGGTTCTGGTTCTATCACCTGTAGTGTGAGAATGACACTGAATACCTAGCTAACATGGTATCTGACACCTGATAAAGGCTGAGTTGTGCCATTTGTTGTTTTTTCCCTTCAGTTACAATTTCTGTAACTGAAGTCCTGTCCTCAACCATGTAACACTCACCTTCCTTCTCATTCAATAACCAAGCTACATTTATCAATGTATCAGACCATGAATTCCCCAATAGCAGAGACGGTATTCCATTATAGAACTAGGAGGGCATGTAGGTTTTCTCATATGTGACAAACAACTACTGGCATTTGGCAGGACATTAGTAAATCTTGATTGAACAAAGCCTGAATCTCTGAATATGGCTTCTAAGCACCCAACAGTATTTGTGGATATAAAGGGGAATTCACATTCTACTTGCCCCTAAGAAAAGGTTAAGTGGGAGTCAATGTCAAGCCTAGTTTAGCTAAACATGGCAAAATGGTATTAATGCCAATGAAAAGAACAAACATGTGCTTTTAAAGGAGAAAGGGACATTCAATTCTTAGCAGAACAGTTGAGAAAGGATTTGTAGAGAATTAACAGCAATGGATTCCAGACGTTATCATATTAAGTACTTTCTTGAAAACCCAATTTGCTTTATTCCTTGAAAAGCAACTTTCAGGAACAATAAAGGCAATTAACATTTATTTGGTGCTCAGCATAAGCTAGGCACTTTGTATATACGATGTTCAAAAAGTTCGTAACATGCATAGTATGAAAAATCTACTCATGGATTTCAAAAATCTTATAGAACAAACTTGTTGGGGCCGGCGCTGTGGCTCACTTGGTTAATCCTCTGCCTGTGGCACCGGCATCCCATATGGGAGCCAGGTTCTAGTCCCGGTTGCTCCTCTTCCAGTCCAGCTCTCTGCTGTGGCCCAGGAGGGCAGTGGAGGATGGCCCAAGTGCTTGGGGCCCTGCACCTGCATGGGAGACCAGGAGGAAGCATCTGGCTCCGGGCTTCAGATCGGCAAAGCTCCAGCCGTAGCAGCCATTTGTGGGGTGAACCAACAGAAGGAAGACCTTTCTGTCTCTCTCTCTCACTGTCTAACTCTATCTGTCAAATAAATACAATAAAATAAAACAAAATTTTTTTTAAAAACTTGTCTTTAATTCCAGTTTTCTATAAATGTTGCAAAGTGCACTCAGATGTAAGTTGCACAGCTGCTCCATGGGTCAGATGTTATTACCCTCATTTACACTGTAAAGAATTGAGGGTCAGAGCTAGCAAGTAAACCACCACAGTCCTGAAACTCATAGGTGGTGAAAAATGGTTTAGAACACAGGCCTGCCTGATTCTAAGTCCATGCTCATTTCATGCCACACTGGAAGATTTGGGTAATAGTAAGAACATTCTAGTCTGAGAACAACTTGCATAAATAAGGGGGAAATAGAACCTAAACTTGGCTTGTGATCATCTCTCACTGTTCTCAAATGGTTTCAGAAATCTACTACTCGACTGGTTTATTGATTTACTCTTGAGTTCCTAACTTCTCTAACAACATTTTCATCTCTTCCAGGCTCAGAGTTCATTTTTACAGCATGACATAGGACACCTTTCCATATTTAAGAAGTCCAAATGGAACCACCTGATGCACAAATTTGTGATGTGTCATCTCAAGGTACAGAATACCATGGAGTGTGCTGGCGACTTTTCAGCTTCATTCCCTAAGGCACTGGCTTCCACATTTGCTTAGCTGAATTCATGAGAGGAAATTTCAAAAAATTCATGGAAAATGGAAATAAAAGATAAGTTTACAGGCAGGTGATTGGCTTAGCTGCTGAGATGACTGAATCCCAAATTGGAGTCTCTAGGGTCAAGTCTTCCCTCTGCTCCTGATTCCGGTTTCCTTCCAATATGTACTCTAGGACACAACAGGTGATAGCTCAAGTGGTCTGCCACTAGTGGAAGATCTGGACTGAGTTCCCAGCGCCTGGCTTTAGCATGGCCCAGCCCCAGCTGATGAGAGAAACTGGGGAGTGAGCCAGTACATGGGAGCATTCTCTCTCTTTCTCTCTCTCTCAAATAATTATTTAAAATATAAGTTCATTTTGGTGCAAAAATTTTTTGAAATCCATACAGTTTCTCCCTAATACAGATTTCCATAAATAGTTTAAAATACTTATTTATTTTTAAAAAAGCAGAATACAGAGGCAAAGAGAAATCTTCCATCTACTGGTTCACTCCCCAATTTCTGCTTTAGCCAAGGCTGAACCAAGCCAAAACCAGGAGTCTATAACTCCCCAGATCACCTCTGTGTATGACAAGGATCCAAGTACTTGAGCCATCACCTTGGAGCCCTGCCTTCCAGGGATATGCATTAGCAAAAATCTGAAATTAGAAGTGGATTGAGGATTGAGACTCTGGCAGTCCAATATGGGATGCAGACATCACAAGTGGCTTCTTAGCTGTTATACCAAGTGCCTGGCCCCCATGAACTTTTAGATGGCTATTCATATGTGTAAAAACTGTTTATAATAATATATACATAAATATAAGTATATTGTGTGAATAATATATATACTAATATACAATATAATATTTTAAATGTGCTAAAATAATCATTTTAATTTTTATAAGGAAAACATTTATTTAAGAAACTCATATTTAATTACCCTGATAAACTATTTGGTTCAATCCCAGGAACCCCATTACCCTAAGGAACATCACAGAAGAAAGTTTGTGCCTTTCAAAATGAAAATGGTCTCTGTAAAATCTTGAATTAAAATATTCTCTGGAGGGATTTGAACAGTCATTGATGGGAAGCTAGGGAAATCCAGAAGTCCTGATTAATTTTACAAGGGGGGTTATGAAACAATGAAGGAAAAAATGAAGGTTAATGGTTTTTTTTTTTTTAAGTGAAAAGTAAGAGAAATAGGCAGGGCAAGCCAGATGATTCTGTTCAAGAGTTGAAGTTTGAAAAAAAAAAAAAAACAGGCTGATTTAAACAACAGGGGTGATGTCGATGTCGGCAGCTGGTATTATCCCCCAGCATAAGCTTCTGTAAGCAGGAACACTGTCCTATACACTACCACAATGCCACCCCTGGCAAACTGCCTTGCACATGCTAGACCTCCAATAACCAACTATTGAATGAAGGAAGGAACCCATTAATAGAACAAGTACTCTGAGAGAAACTTCTAGCCCTGGTTCTGACTGCACTCACTGTGTGATCTTGAGCAAATTGTATTCTATCTCTGGCCCTCTGTATTCTTCATCTGTAATATGAAGAGTTAAATTGTGTCTATGCCTTTTATAACTTCTGTAGTATTTGGTGACTATGTACTGTGTCCCAGAAGAGAGACCAGTGCTCCCAGTAAACCAAATCCTTGGCTTCAAGCCAAGCCTCTCAGGAAAATCCATAGGCACTGACTCAGTCTACTTGTTCTTCCTTAACACGGAGTTTTTTTTAATATATGTTTTTATTTACAAATGTTTATTTATTTCAGGTGAACGAATTTCATGTATTTCATTATACAGATTTAGGGACACAAAGGTTTTTCAAATATATATGTGTGTGTGTGTGTGTGTGTGTGTGTGTGTGAAGGTACTTCAAAACCATTCATGGACTCAGAGCTAATTTTGATGAAAAAATTATTTAAAATATATGCATAGTTTTTTTCATAATACACATTTTCCATGTATTTTTTTGAAGACTGCATGCATGAACTTCAAAAAATTTTTCCACAAAATATGTATTTTTAATCACATTTCCCATGAAGTGTTTGAAGTATATTCATATATTTAAAACAAAAAAGACCTGGTTATCTGGTTCCCCTGCCTCTAGTGGATTGAGCATGAGAGAATGCTGGATGCAGGCCCACAGAAAGCATCAGTGTCTGCTGACAGCAAGTGATAAGGGAGAGCAGATGGAAACTCAAATCTGATGAGCGTCTGCCAAGTTTCGCATTCGGAACTGGCGTCCTGGGGTTGTTGTTAATGTAATTCCCATGAGAGAGAGACTGCAGCACCTTTATTTTCCAGCTGAGATGAATGTTCAAAGGGGCTACCTTAAAGCCAATGGCCACAAGCTTTTAAGTGGAAGAATTCTTAGCATGTAGATTCCAGAACAGGGTCTCTCAATTCCGGCTATTACATCTGAAGTCACCTGAAAAACCTTTCAGAAACACTGATGCCCATGCAGTATCATCTGCAGTGAGCTGGATCTGCATACTGGTATGTCTCATTCTCAATTTCTATTTATTTATTTTCATTTTATTTAAAGGGAACAGAGAGAGAGAGACAGAAAAAGAGGTAGAGATCTACAATATACTGGTTCACTCCCTAAATGCCCACAGCACCATGGCTGGGCCAGGCCAAATTCAGGAGTCTAGAACTCAATCATATTCTCTCATGTATGTAGCAGAGACCCAGGTACTTAAGCATCATCTGCTGCTCCTCAGAGTACACATTAAAAGAAAGATGGATGGGAAGTTAAGTAGCTCAGACTCCAGCCAGGTTCCAGTATGGGCTGTAGGCAACCCAAGCCTTAACACGGTACCAAATCAGCTGGCCCCATGAGCATATTTTTCAAAGCTCTCAACATGGTTTTAACTCTTGGCCAGCACTGAGAACTGCTACTCTAATAACAGACCTGCCTTCTGTGAGAACTTGACCACCAGTGAGCTAGTCACTTTGAGCACATTATTTAATGTCTTTTACCTTCAGTTTCTTCAACCATAAAATCAGGGGCGATGATGGCCTCATCTGAGAGGGATACTGTTAGGATTATATGTGATACTCATATGCCATGCTGAACACAATACCTGTAATATGGGATATGTTTGATAATTATTAGTTATTAAAGTGTAGTCCTCCCTTATCCACTAGGGATATGTTCTAAGACCCCCAGTGGATGTTTGAAATCACAGATAATGTGGAACCCTGAATATTGTAGGCAACTAATGAGCAAATAGTTTACATAACACAGATACACAGCACAGAGTGATGATTCATGTCCTAGGCAGGATGGTGCAGAAATATGGATGATTTCAACACAGAACAGTGATAATTTAAAACTTACAAATGTTTTATTTCTGGAATTTTCTACATGAAATTTTTGGACTACAGTTGGCCTTGGGTGACTGAGATTATAAAAAATGAAGCTGCAGATAGGTGGCTATTACCATATTAACTAACAGTCTTTCCATAGCCAAAATAAGGATACAAGATCATTAAAAATATGTTTAATCATGATGGTATTATGAAGATAGGGAAGTAGACCAAAAAATCTCAGCATCATTGCAAGGTGCTTGAAATCAGCTGGTTCCATTTAACCAAAAAATTCCTGTAGGACACCATTTTACTCTCTATTCACCAGCACTCAATAGATGAGACATTTTTGGACTGACTCGGAAATACCTATCACTGGGTAAACCTTTATGTCGTTGTGAAGAGTCAGGCAACAAACCCCTCCTTATTTCCTTCCATTGTTCAAAGAGTCAGAGGAAGGGCAGGACTCATCTGCCCTGGAGAAAATTGGTGGTTGATCTGGTGCCAATATGTAGAATATTGGATCAGCCCCACCCTGGCTTGCACTTTTAAAAGTCACTGCTTTCCCATCGATCTAACTCTGTACCTAGTTCTTTCTAAGTAAATTATGTCTCCAAAAACAATTTTTCATTAGTTGAAACAAACATAATCTTGATGACTTGTGAATAGAATGAGAAAATGGGAAATGACTCTAAAAGAAAATCAAAAATGCCTTGCCTTTTTTCAGGCAAAGCCAGAGATTCATGTGTAGTATGAATGTAGGCATCACCTATGTGCAGAAGAGAAAATTACTCATGGAGAAAAAGGATAGACAGGAACAAGATGATGAAGAAAATGATACAAAGCAATATCCTGCCTTTCACATGCATCACAACTTAAGTTCCAAATCTTAACTTCAAATCAGTTACCACTACCCCCCTCCCCCAGAGGCACAAATACTGAGACTTTGGGGATTTTCCTTTGCTAACTGTGGGAAAATATCTATGTTCTGTTCTTTACAGCGTTTACACAATAAAAGAGCCCTCTGAAAATAAGCCATGAACTATCTGCATACGTTTTGTTCCTTCCTGCAGTACAGGTGGAGCATCTGTGATCCAAACATCTGAAGTCCGAAATGCCCCCATATCCAAAACTTTTGGAGTAACAATCTGACAGATGCCAGAAGTGGAAAATTCCATGCTATGAAACATGGTTTCATGCCCAAAATTATTTAAAATGTTGTATAAAGTTACCTTCAATCTATGTGTATAAAATATATATGAAGCACAAGTGAATTTCATGTTTGGGCTTGGGTTCTATCCCCAAGATATCTTATTTTGTATATGAAAATATTCCAAACTTTGAAAGATTTCTGAAATCTGAAACACTTCTGGTCCAAAACATTTCGGATAAATGATATTCAATGTGTACTCTGTAGTCACAGCTGTACTTCATCCAGGCTCTTATCTTCCTGTGTGTAAAAATGCAATGGGGAGATGTAGGTAGAGATAAACAGAAGATTAGGATTTATCAAAAAAGCAGAAAAATAGTACATGCTCAAATGTGAGTGCTGGCAACCTCAAGAGAGAGAATTGTCCTTACTCAGACTAGAGACATAGGTAGGGGTCAGGGCAGTACCTGACTGAAAATCCAAAAGAGACAGGATTTTGGGTAGGGCTTCAGTATACATGATGGTCTCTAGAAGATGTCATGGCACCTGGTACCTGATGTAAGTTGAGGCTTAGCTTCATGATGAGGAGTGGCTGTGCTGAGTCCTCACTCACGCCATGTTAGCATGGAAGATATGACAATTTGGGTGGTGCAATGCTTGAATGTTAGCAATCTTTAGCTCCTTATCCATTCCTGACTCCTTGCCTTACCCTCATCACTATTATAGGGATACTGTAGGCAGAATTAGAGGGGTTCTTCAGAACCTTTGTTGGAAAATGAAATTAAAGATATTTATTTTGGCATAAAAAATTTTGAAATTCATCCATAGGTTTTTGATAAAGTGAATTTTCCATGAATATTTGAAGACCCCCGCATCTTTGAAAATAGGACCTTCCTAGAATAGCTGGCCTATTAAGTTTCTGTGACTGCATCCTAAAACACTGGTAAGGAAAGGAGTGTCAAGCATATTATTTGCCCAAAGTCACACACCTAGCAGATTGCCAAAGAGGGATTCAAATTCAGTTGGTTTTGGCTCAAAGCCTGTCCCTTCCACCTGTACCAAGGAAGAACCCAACTTGGCAGTGAGGAATGATTCAGGGTGGTTCCTGCATAGATAGGCCTGATATAAGGAGCCGTCATCCTCTCTCACACACTTTTTTTTTTTTTTTTTTGTCTTCAGTAATACTGGCTTCAAGGTAGGAGGGCCTGGGTGGAGTCAGTTACTTGGATCACACCTATAATTACTGTAGCTACTGTTCTAATCTCAAAGGCTTGGTGCTATTAAGATCTAGTCCTTAGCCTATTGTGACTTAAAACCTGTCTCCCAGTTACCAATTATTACAGTCATTGGCTAAAAGAATATAGTCAACTGGTGGAGAAAATCAAATGTTAGCTTAATTGAAAAAAAGAATCATTCCTTATCACAATATCCTTGTTTAATTATCTATAGCTCCCAAAAGATTACATGTTTATAAGTGTGGAAACCTCATTTTTATTATGTTTGTCTTGACACACCAAATACATAGCTCAATAATCTGACACATGGGACTTGATTCAAAATAAAGAGCAGATGGATAAATGAGTGAATGCATGATTAGAGGAGTGAGTAGGTCATACGCAATTGGCTGGGAAAAGTTGAGAGTGTAAGAGGCTCCAAAAGGGAGAATAGAAATGATGAGTTCATTTTGGGATGCTCTGAGATTGCGATTCATGAGATAAACAAAAGAAAATATTCAGAAATTCCATGAGCTTGAGAAGGAAGATCTGGCCTGGAGGAGAGATTCCACCACAAGAATATTAGGGCGTGTTGGAGATGAGAATACTGCTCCTGCTGGTAGGAGGTGGGTGGGGAGTTGCTAAGAGAGGACTCTGCAAAGACCATGGAAGACAATGCTAACCTTAAGGGTTTTCAAACAAATTCATCCCCTCCTACCAAAGATGTATAATATATAGACCAGCATGCCACAACAGAAATATCACACAAGCCACATTAAAATGACATATGTCATTTTCAATTTTCTAATTGTCACATTTGAATGACAACTTTATCACTCCGTATCTATTCAACAGATTATCACTTATATATGTAAACAATATAAAAATTACTAATAACATATCTTACATTCCTTTTCTCATATAACCTTCAAAACACAGTATTTATTTTATACTTTATAGCCCATCTTAATCTGGTCAGATATTAAATACTCAATAGCCACATGAGGCTAGTGGCTACTGTATTAGACATTGTAGTTGTAGAATTCTTGATCTTGTTTTTTTTTAAGAGATGTCAAATATGCAAAAAATTATTGCTCCTGTTTATTCTTCTGTAACTTATAATAATGCAATCTGCCAACATTTTAAAATCAGTATTCTGTATCTTCCTCAAACAACCCAGATAGACAAATGTCATTGGGCTGTATTTACTGGAGATGGAATTGAGCCTCAAAGAATATGGGTGATTTGCCCCAATCACACAGTAGTAGTCATCCATTTGGATGAAACTAAGTTGATTGACTTCCAAACCCTATTCTCTATTTAAACTTTTAGACTTTCAGTGATAGGGAAAACCACCAGCAACCTACAGACTTTCAGTGAGAGAGAAATCACAAACAACCTAATCAGAGGGATTCAAGCTTGGCATCAGCTAAAATGTTTTTATTCTCATTTATTTTTATATGAAAGTACTGAAGCAGAGCCATACAATGATCTGAGCCAAGCCCCCCAAGGAGATCACTCAGTGCTATGATTCTTTGAAATATTCATTGACGAAAGATACTTGGGGCTGCTTTTTTTCCCCAGAACTAATTAAAGTCTTGAATCTAAGGCTTTTTAATGTGTGCAATAGGAATAATACTCTCTGCTCCACCTACCTTTGGAATTTTTAAAAAACATCAAATATGAGAAGAATGGGAAAACATTTTGTCTCAACAGGTTTTAATGGTTTTCATTATCAAAAGTTGTTTTAGCCTGAAGTTACACCCCTGGATCAGAGAATTCTTTCTTTGTAATCTGTGATATACTTTGTCCAATGAGGCATCTTGTGGCCCAGCAACAGAGGCAACTCAATAACTCAAATATTTCATTTTGACTACAGGAATACATGCACAAAAGTCTGACAGTTGTGGGCATTTCAGAAAATAAATCTTTCACCTAATGAGCCCTTTCTTCTTCTCAGGGCTTGTCTGTAAACTGGTGGAATAACCGACACTTTCAACATCATGTAAAACCAAACATCTACCCCAAAGACCCAGATATTGACATGGGCCCACTTTTTCTGCTTGGAGATACGCAACCTGTCAAGGTATGTTTCAAATCTTGTGACATCAGAGAAGTGTTCCTGGAAGAGGTTTCTAGAAAGATTTACAGCCTTGACTCAGAAAAAAAAAAAAATACAGATGGACTTCTGTCTTCGAGAATGATCTGAGTACATTGATCCTTTTAGGTCCAGGATGCATATACAAAATAACGGATTCTGGGGTTGTAAAAATAGAAGGACATTTGAAGTTATGACTCAATGACTGTAAAGGTCATCAAGTCAAACCTCCCACAACAGGAGTTTGATAACCCATATCATTCTGCTTGAGCAATCTCAATGACAGGTCCTTGCCCAGTGCTTGTCACTACTCTGAGGCAACACAAGCTAATAGATAGTGGAACTAGGGATGGCGTGGCTCTCTGAAGTTTAGCAAGGGATGTGGACAACTGTTCACCAAGAGAAGACAAATCCATACATTCACTAAGCACAGGATCACAAACATCTAAATAGCTATTTATTTCAACTAACTTTAGCCCAATTAGAAAAAAATTATGCTGCTTACTTTTATCTCATGTTCATTTTGGTTCATTTGTATTTGAACCACAGCCTAAATAGGTAAAACACCCAGAGACTCCATCTCCAATTTGAACTTCTTAAACAATAGAAAAAGGAGCAGAAAATTTATCTCTAAAGTTTCTTAGTTATTGATTTCTTAAAAATACTTCACCCTAAAAACCAACATGTAAAGGACTATTTAAATTACCAAAGATTTTAGGAGGGAGACAATTCTCAACCAGTCCATTTAGGTTTATCAAGTCCTGGCATTTTATTAGTCCCTTTCCCATGTTCCCCACTATTTAAATATTTGAAGGCTAAGAAGTAACTGCTAATAATTGTATTATTTCATCACCATATTTTTGTTTGTAACAATAAGAGAAGAATGTACCAACTATAAACTTTTCAAATAGAAAAGAAAAATCTATGCATAAGAAGGAATATAGCAAAGGAATGGAAAAAACAGGAATTTAATCAGCCCATAGAGTTATAAGTGAGTGAATATAGGAGAAAATATATCGCAGGTACAAATTATCATTCACTCACCAATTCCTTCAATAAATAGTTTCCTCGGTACTCCTAACCTAGCAGACATTACATTATTATACAGCCATTATCCCTGTCTCCTCACAAAGCATATTCTGTCTTTGGGAACTGAGAACAAGTCAAATTAGTGAATGGGACTCCTAGGAAATGAATCATAAATTCTCAGTAGTGAATGGAATATAACAATTATTACAAATAATAATTTATTACTTAATATATAATGAATATATATCATGCCATCGTGTCTTAGTAAATCATAGCATGAGATCCATGAGGAGAACACAAAGAGGAAAAATGAGACAGATAGGAGGGGGACATGCCTATATCTTCTGTTACACAACCAATGGCTGTCAGATAAATGAAAGGAGATGGAGCACAGCTTCAAGGAGAATCTTAAATATAGTGGTAGGGCTGAAGAAGAGCCAGAAAAACTCAATTGAACTATCCCCTTTTCAACCACCATTCTGCATCACACAAGGGGAAAAATTTCAAAATGTATTCTATGAGAATAAAAAAAATGACCACAATTCCCATAGTCAAATGAAAAAATCCATCCATGCAAGAATTGTCCACTTTTAATTATAGCAAAAAGAAGCCAAAAGACTCCTTCCTATCCCACTCTGTTTCTTCTAATGCATCAGGTTTGACAGTCAGTGAGTACTGATCAGATGACTTCTTCTGTGAAGATTTCTCTCCTCTCTCTCTCTCTCTCTCTCTCTCTCTCTCTCTCTCTCTCTCTTTCACATACACACACACACACACACACACACACACACATCTTGAGTGTGAAGCCAGGAGTATTGCCTCTTATTATGGTTTTATTCTCTCTTCAGTATGGCAAGAAGAAAATCAAATACATTGACTATGAAAAGCAGCACCTGTACTTCTACATGGGTGAGTCTCCCAGAGCCACATTCCTAATAATCCCATTTTCTTAAAGCCAGCCCTTATTGAGCCCAAATAAGTGACCAGAATTCCTCACAGAGGTCAGGCGATGGCTTATTGTTACTGAGAAAAGTAGCATGTCTAACTTCAGACTCCCAGGGCTGAGAAGGAAAATGGAAAAGCAAATAAGCATTTCTAGCAGGTATTGCACCGCTCTGGGGTTTTGGCAGGAAAGGAAAGGGATGCTCCAAGTGGGAGGGAAGGCAGAATGCCAGTCGAGGGGTGTTCCATCTGGCACTCTTATCCTGGAAAGACTAAACACCTCTCAAGAGAAAGAAACAGTGGTATTCACACAGAGAGGAAAGAGACTGGAAAATAATGCTAAAGCATTTATAGTATGATATCAGGAAGAGATAAAGTCCATAAATAAAAGGCAGTTATCAAGCTTCCACGTGGAAGAGAACTGGCTATTCCTCCATGGCTTACATATAGCTGTAGGATATATGAGGCCACTATGGTCTGAATAGGATTCAACTCCCAAATGTGTGCAAATATTCAAATACAGAGTTGTGGGTTGGTGGTATTAGGAAAGTGGAATTCAGTTATGGTGTTTAGGAGGAGAGCCTAGTGGGAGTTCCTTCAGTCACTGGGGGCATGCCCTCCAAAGACAGTGCTCATGAGAGGGATGGTTACGAAAGCCAAGTTGGGCGTAGCCACTGTCTCTGTTTCCTGGCTTTCTGTGTTATCATTCTGCCACACTTGTTCTAACATTGCCATCCTCCGACCTCACCACATGGCCTCACCAGTGGTGCACACCTCCTCTTGGACTGTGAATCTCCAAAACTGTGAACCAAAATAAACTTCCTTCCTTCATAGGTAACTTGTCTTAGGTATTTGCATGTAGTAATGAAAATCTGACTAATAACGATACACATACATATACATGTATACACATGTACATATAAGTGTATACATGTATATGTATACGTGTATACATGTATATATGTATGTATGCGTGTATATACATATATGTATATGTGTGTATAAACATATATACATGTGTGTGTGCTTGTATATGTGTGTGAAAGAGAGGGAGAGAGAGAGAGATTGTGGGATAGGCTTAAAATATAAGGGTAGCTAGGCCGGCACCGCGGCTCACTAGGCTAATCCTCTGCCTTGCAGCGCTGGTACACCAGGTTCTAGTCCTGGTCGGGGCGCCGGATTCTGTCCCGGTTGCCCCTCTTCCAGGCCAGCTCTCTGCTGTGGCCAGGGAGTGCAGTGGAGGATGGCCCAAGTGCTTGGGCCCTGCACCCCATGGGAGACCAGGAGAAGTACCTGGCTCCTGCCATCGGTGCGGTACGCCGGCCGCAGCCTGCCGGCCGTGGCGGCCATTGGAGGGTGAACCAATGGCAAAAGGAAGACCTTTCTCTCTCTCTCTCTCACTTTCCACTCTGCCTGTCAAAAAAAAAATATATAAGGGTAGCTAAATAATTCTGACATGCATAAAAGAACATTATAAGTAAGAGCTTTTGTCCTTAACCAAAATCAACCTCATTACAACTCACAAAGAAAAATTTTAAAGAACTCCCACATCTGCTTATCAAAAACCTATTTACGCATTTGGGAAATAAACCAAAATCAGGAAAAGAAACCAAATGTTTCCTAGAGACAAAAGGTTTTCAACCAAGGGAAAGCCACCCTCCCCTTTGCCACCCAGGACATTTTACAATGTCTAGTGACATTATTGGTTATCACAAAGGATGGGGAGAGATGGTAGTGACAGGCAGTGAGGAGAAGCCAGGGAGACGGCTAAAGGTTCTCTAATGCAAATGACAGCCTCTCCTAACAAATAATTGTGTGGCTCCAAACACCCACACTGCTGAGGCTGAAAAACCCTGTTGCAGATGGAGTGATCTGCCCACATCTAGACCACTGTAACACTGAAACCTGCCTGAGAAGGACAGCTGCTGAGTAAAATGTTAGGAATCTGGGGTCAACCATCACTGCTGCCTCTTCCTCAGTAGGGACTCAGCCTCCCTCATCACACACTCATCATCTGCCCCATCCCCACACAACTGACAAGACAAATAAGGACATTGGTACCCCATTTTGAGAGAGTGAACCCTGTCTAACAGGGTATGTGTTTGCACAAGGAAGTTTCTTTTCTGAACTTTTCTCTGTCTTTAATAGCTTTTTCTGTATATGTCCAGGGGTTCTTGTGTTGTGTGTACATATATTTATCATTGTTACTTCTTGCTGAATCAATCCTTCTATCAATATGTAATGTCCCTCTTTGTCTCTTTCAGTTTTTGATATAAAGGCTCTTTTATCTCATATGGATATAACTACTCCTGCTTGTTCTTGGTTTCCATTTGCCTGGAATACCTTTTTTATAATCCTTCATTTTCAGCCTATGTGTGTCTACTTATGAAGTGAGTTTCTTGTAGGCAGCATATAGTTGGGCCTTATTTCCTTATCCAACCTTGTCATCTTTTGACTGAGAATTTTAATCCATTTACATTCAAGGTTAATGATCATAGATAAGACCTAATACTTGTCATTTTGTTAATTAGTTATTGATAGTATTTGCTTTGTTAGTGAATTTAGTAGTGTCTTGAATTTCCATGATGCTGCTTCTACTGTAATTTCTTATAAGTCTGGTCTGGTAGTGATGAATTTTCTCAATTTTAAAAAATATATAGTGCTTCATTAATTTGCCTCCCCTGTGTGATAGTGCAATATGCCCTTAGTTTATAAGGAATGCATTAACCATGCTTATTCACTGTAGCATGATCCCCTTACAAAGCAGACTACCCTACTCTGCCACCACCACTACCAAGAGCTCTTTCATCTTTCTCTTCAATGCCAGCTTAGTATCTTGGATACTAACAAGTCATACTCAAACTGTCATAGAGAAAATGAGCTGGACGCTTGTTGAAAGGAACAAGATAAATTTGATTCAGGCTACTTCAATAGAGGAAACATCAGTATAAGCTGAGCTTAACTCTGCAGAAACAAAAGTGGAGAAGGTAATTTTAAAGGCCAAAATATCTTAACAGAAAACACTAGGGAGTAGGGTGCAAGTAGGGGAGTTGGTCTATGTGCTAAGGTCAGACCATCTGAGTTTGCTAACTGGCACTGTTGAAGTTAAGTCCCTGCCTTCCCACAGAGACAGAGGCTCTATACTTGATGATTACATTTCCAAAGGACAGCTTTTAGGTCCTTGAGAAAGATATATCTGGATTGTGGAAAATATATCTCAAAAGGAGAGAAAAGGCCTTACCAGTGTCAGTTTCTAAAGTAAATGCTCTAAAAAGAGGAAGAGCAGGTGCCTACAGTCATGTTTTGCCTGGAACAAACAGAAAATTCTTTTGGCAACTGAGTTCTTCAGACAGGAATTTTAAGAGGACTGGGGTCATCCCAGTGATGGGGTCTTGGATGCTTACAGACTATGCTAGTGCTTGCTCAAGTTTCTTGGTGGGTGTGTGGTGGGATGGGAAGCGAATGAAATCATTTGTGCCAAGAGTTTACGGTCTTCATAGCCAAGGATGGAGACCTTGTCGAGAAGAGGGCTCGGAGGATATGACTACAGGTTGGTCAAGGGAGAGTCTTTGCCACAAGCAAAGGACCACAAGATTCCTTTGTGCTTTCAAAGGCTTTGATGATTCTGAGGTAGAAGCAAACAAATCACTCTCCGGCCAGGAACTGAGCACACTGTTGTTAATTCTGCCACCCCAACATATTGTGATAGAGCCCAACCCTGAGCATATGGGAAAACTGAAGGGTTCCAATGGCCTGGCCTTACAATATTTAAAAGCTCACAGCAAAAGCTCTTCAAGGATGCCTCCGTCAAAAGTGATTCAAGGCTGGCGCCGCAGCTCACTAGGCTAATCCTCCACCTGCAGCGCTGGCACACCGGGTTCTAGTCCCGGTCGGGGTGCTGGATTCTGTCCCGGTTGCTCCTCTTCCAGGCCAGCTCTCTGCTGTGGCCCGGGAGTGCAGTGGAGGATGACCCAAGTGCCAGGGCCCTGCACCTGCATGGGTGACCAGGAGAGGCACCAGGCTCCTGGCTTCGGATCAGTGTGGTGCGCTGGCAGCAGCTGCGATTGGGGGTGAACCAACGGAAAAAGGAAGATCTTTCTCTCTGTCTCTCACTGTCCACTCTGCCTGTCAAAAAAAAAAAAAAAGTGATTCAAGTCTTCAAAACTTCTCAATCCTTTTTAAAGGAGCTTGAATCTAGAACTTAGACTTGGAAAGCCCAAGTTCAGGATGTGGCTTTGGATCTGCACTCTGCCTCCTGTCCGGAGCCAACATCCAGGGGTGACATGTTAACAGACAGACTCCTGATGACTTGCATTGGGGTCGGATTCTGCTCATCTACTGACATTGTCTTTTGTTGCTGTTGTTGTCCTTTTGCAGTTGGGCTCCCTCTCCTCATGCCTGTGTATTTCAATCTGCAATCCATGCAAATGATGTACCTTAAGAAGTACTGGGTGGTGAGTAACTTGGCTGAGCCTCTGAAAGTGAACCTACTTGGTGACCTCCAGATATAGCTTCCTTGAGTAACAAAGCATAAGATGCAGACAGCAAATGAATGGACCCCCGCCCATTGAAGAGGAAATGCAATTATATTTGTAGCGTCTAACTTTCAAGTGTTTTCTTTTCAGGACATTGCCTGCGTCAGCAGCTTTTATATCCGATATTTCATCACATTCAGCCCTTTCTATGGAATTTTTGGAAGCTTTCTGCTCATATATTTGGTCAAGTAAGAGTATTCTTTTGTTCTCATAACCTAGATGGTCCTCTTACCTTTCTCACTAGGGTATGTGGGATAAGCAGAAGACTAGGATACCATGACCCATGTCCTGAAGCAGAGGTATTTCCAAGCAAATATGAAAAATAAAAACAGTGAAATCAGTGAACAACACAAGCTCCTTGCAAGAATTTTTCTGGCCCATGTTTCTTCCATTTGCTGTGATCCTAATTGCAGCATTTCTGTTGCCCTCCACCAAGTACTTTAGATTGGACATCATAACCCCTGACAGCACAGGAATTTTATAAGTTCTTTTCCAAGAATAGATTTTCCCAAAACCAAATGGCTTTTGACTTTATTTTTAGCAAATTACACCCTTCAACTTTCTACTTTATTCCTCCCTCATTCCGTTGCACTCTTACTCTAAATCCTATGTAATTATAAGGATAATGGTAGCTACTATGCATCCGACACTTTGTTAAGGCTTTCTTTGCATTATCTTATTTGATGTAATCCTTGTACAATCCTACAATGTTGATAGAATCATTTTTATTTTTCTGTTAAGGGAAGTGAAGCTCACAGAGATTAAACCACTTGCCCAATGTCATAAAGCAGGTTAGGGAAAGGCCAAAGAACTTGAACCCAGCTCTATTTGATGACAAAATCCAGGCTGTTAACTAATTTGCATATGTCCTTGGAGACCCTGGTATTTTTTATTATTTCACAGAAACTACAGAAACCATTGAAAGTGTTGCTTCCATACGTTCGCCCTCAGGATAGACTGAATGTCCTAGTGTGGCACCTGTAGATAGAAAAGTTCAAAAAGGAAAATGAATGACTTCCATTTACTGGAACCTTTGAACTTCTTTCATTTCCTCCCATGTTCAGCTGGCTCTACAAGTGGTTATGCAAGCCCAGTGATTGCAACTGAAATACCTCAAAGAGTCATCACTTCCTCCTTTTCACTCCCCAAAAGGTTTCTTGAAAGTCCCTGGATTGCCTATGTTACCCAGATGAGCCACATTCCAATGAAAATGAGCAAAGAGGAGAACCGGGATTGGCTCAGCACTCAGGTAAATGCTGGAATCACTAAGGGAGAATCCTTCAAACCATACCTCTTTAAATTTTAATCACCTGGAATACTAACAACTCATCCTCATTGAATGCTTGCCAGGAACTATGTAGCTACTAAGGTAGGCACTATGATTACTGTGACTTTACAGATGATAAAATTGAGCCATGAAAAGATTCAGTCACTTGTGTCAGGTCAAAATTAGGAAGTTTGAACCTACGCAACTTAATTATAGAGCCTTTTTGCTCTAAACAAAGGATCAGTCAACTGAAGTCCAGAGGACAGATTTGGCCTACTCTGTAATGGTTATTCCCAAAGTCACTTTAAGAGATTTACTTAAAATAGTACATTATCACTTCATGTCTATAGCTACTATCTAAAGTTAGGAAGACTCCTTCACTAGCCTGCCAGATTCCTGGTGTTTTCAATGTCCTCTCTCTTATAATAACGAAAATAATACAACTGCTTCACACTCTTAAAAGTTATTGATACTAGCCTGCGCCGCGGCTCACTAGGCTAATCCTCCGCCTTGCTGCGCCAGAACACCGGGTTCTAGTCCCGGTCGGGGTGCCGGATTCTGTCCCGGTTGCCCCTCTTCCAGGCCAGCTCTCTGCTGTGGCCAGGGAGTGCAGTGGAGGATGGCCCAAGTCCTTGGGCCCCACACCCCATGGGAAACCAGGATAAGTACCTGGCTCCTGCCATCGGATCAGCGCAGTGCACCGGCCGCAGCGCACTGGCCGCAGCGGCCATTGGAGGATGAACCAACAGCAAAGGAAGACCTTTTTCTCTGTCTCTCTCTCTCTCACTGTCCACTCTGCCTGTCAAAAAAAAAAAGTTATTGATACTGATAACCTCAAAGAGCTTTTGTTTATGTGGGATTTTATCCATTGGTGTTTACTGTATTTGAAGTGAAAATGGATAATTAAAAATTTAATAAATATCTGTTTATTCATTAATGTTAAAATAACAAGAATAAATCCCAAACATGATATCATCAGAGTGATAATGCCATATCAAGTTTAATAACATCAGGAAAATTCCACCATAGAACAAGAAGTGAGATAGTTTTTGGCCTTGCAGATCTCATGAAGGTGACCTGGAGACCTTAAGATTCTCTAAATTACACTTTGGCTAACTCTAACATAGAATTATCACATACAACATTCAAAATGGCAAAAATCTCAGCTAGAATTAAACCTCAAAAGGCATTGAATAAGATGGCATTCATTTGGATGTTAATCTTGCCAGTCTGGAGAAGCCCATGAACTCCTTCTCAAGATAATGTTATTTAAATGCCTCAAATAAAATACATAAGAATACAAAGGAAACTATTTATGTTGGAACACATTTCTGTGCATAGAACCTTTGGCTAGACCCTTGAATGCCTCACTTCTCATTCAGAAGTCCTTCAAGTCCACTCTGTGGAAATGGTCTACAACCCCGACAATCTCAACCAGAGTCTATAATCCCACCTCCAAAGTCTTCATTCATGACACCAAGGTCAATAATGACTTTCTTCCTCAAATCCTGCATTGTTTTGCATATCTGTTGCCTTTTATGTACTTTATAGAAAAATCTTACTGCCTTTTTAAATTGTAAATTCCTGAGACTTAAGATTGTATGTCTTTAATATTCCTTATAGTTTCTTTTTTAAAATTTTTATTTAAGTTATACAAATTTCATGCATTTCATATATACAGATTCAGGATCCTTACAGATTCTTATACAACATAGGTATACAATACACACTTATAAGAAGGGTAGACTGAGTAAAAGAACAAATAAACATGTCCTTTGTTTGACACTTTGGCTCATTTATATTTAATGTGACCTTTTTTCTTTGCAGGTTTTGGCCACTTGTAATATTGAACAGTCCTTTTTCAACGATTGGTTTACAGGGCACCTGAACTTCCAAATCGAGCACCAGTGAGTGATAGAAAGTTCATGGTAGGATAGAGGTAGTCATTTAGCCCCAAAGTTCAGAGCAGAGCTCCAAGCTCAGGATTTCAGAAAAAGAGAAAAATAAATCTTTTTCTCTAAAGGCTACTCTTTATCAGCATCAATGTTAAGAGAAGGAAGGAGGGGCCAGCACCATGGCTCACTTGGTTAATCCTCCGCCTGCGACGCCGGCATCCCATTTGGGCACCGGGTTCTAGTCCTGGTTGTTCCTCTTCCAGTCCAGCTCTCTGCTGTGGCCCAGGAAGGCAGTGGAGGATGGCCCAAGTGCTTGGGCCCTGCACCACATGGGAGACCAGGAGGAAGCACCTGGCTCCTGGCTTCGGATCAGCACAGCGCCAGCCGTGGTGGTCATTTTGGGGGTGAACCAACAGAAGGAAGACCTTTCTCTCTGTCTCTCCCTCACTGTCTAACTCTATCTGTCAAATAAATAAAAAAAGAGGGGGCGGGGGAAGAAGGGGCTTTAACAATTGTGATAAAGTGAAGTGGAATCTGAACGTGACTCAGTTGCAGACACACAGACTTGGAAATTGGTCATTGTTCTCTGTGCTTTTACTTTGCTAGTGAAACTTGAGGAAGAGAATACTCTTTGGGTAATCAAGTTGTGTTGAAATTTAACTACAATTTAATTTAAATATCTTTTTCAAGCAAAATTATAAAATAACCAACAATGAAAACCGGTTCCTGATGTAATTTCTAAAAGGCTTTTTTGGCAATAGGTAGACATATAATAAAGAAAAAGAAAAAGGATAATCCTGGAGCATCAATCTCTCCACAATATTCAGGGAAGAAATTTCCACTTTCTCTTTATCTGGAATAATCAGGAAAAAGAAAGATTTTATACCTGCACATGAGATTTTCTCATCCTTCCTTTTATAATAGTCTTTTGAAACCTCAGCACAACATTAAAGGATTATTATTTATATTTTAGAGAAGGAGAGATTAAAACCCAAGTCAGTCACCTGGCTGATCAGTAGATAACCTTGGCCAAAAATAAACATATTCAGTGGAGCTACTATTTATTCTATTAGCATCTCCCAAACATTTAACACCCACAAGGCTCACCCACACGGCTTACATGTTAAGAGATAAGAGGAGAGTGTTTTGTCAAGGGTTTTTGAACTTCCTAGAACAGAAACATTGTGCAAAGTCAAGGTGGGTCTTCATTTCTGGTAATGGAAGAAAGAGAACTCTTTTGCATTTCTGTTTAGATCTGTTTCATATCTCTTGTCCATTTCTCTAGTCTCTTCCCCACGATGCCGCGGCATAATTATCACAAAGTGGCACCTCTAGTGAGATCACTGTGTGCCAAGCATGGATTGAAGTACGTGAATAAGCCCATGTTGCGAGCGTTTGGAGATATCGTCAGGTAATAACATAATTTCTTCCAGCTTATAGCTCTCATCTCTTTTCACTGCCACCCCCAGACTATTCACTGGCTTGTTTTCATTCACCCAAGAGCCATTAAGGGATACCCTTGAACCCAAAATGGACACAACACTCTGCAGGGATCAACAGCAACAAAATCAATGATAATGGAAATACATAACCATTTTTCTATTGCTTTTGGGAACTTCTTAGTAAATATGCCTTACTACTTGATGATATTTCAAGCTTGTTGGAACAAAAGGCTGCGTTTTTGGTTCTGCACCCTCAAAAGGGCTTCACACATACTTTAAAAGTTTATCAAGTCACCTGGTCCAGTGTTGCAACCTAAGGTGTCTGCAGCACCCAGGGTGACACAAATGTGCAAATTGGGCTGAGCTGGCCAGGCCAGGGTAGTGAAGCTTTACTGAGATTGAAAGTTCATGCTCATCCAGAGGCGTTCACACTGAGTTTCCTTCAGAATGTTGTGCTGGTCAAAATAGCAGTCAGTAGTCTGGGGTTAACAACTTTCTCTTTCTTTTAGGATGGGGAAATCAAAATGTATTTTGAATACCACCAACAAGGCGAGGCCTGATGGGATTAATCTCTGCCTACTGCCTCAGCCTCACTGCTCCACTGCTCTTTTCCTGCATCTCTGTCCTCCAGATTTGTGACCCATTTTCAGTTGCTACAAAACCCCCCTCTCCTGGTCATTTTGTTTGCTTGCCACTTTTTCTTCTGCTTGGAACATTCCTCCAAACCACAACCTCCCTTATGTCACCTTGTCCATTTCCCATTCAATCTCCAAGGTTCATCTCAAATATATTTTCCTTATTTCAGTCTTCACTGGTCCCCAAAACTACCTTTGTCACATATTCTTGAAGGACCTGGATCCCTTCATTGGTGATCTTTACCACACCACATCTGTGGTAACATAACGTGTTGTAATAAATTATCTTTTCCATGTCTGCCAAGCTAGATGAGGAACTCTGTGAGAACAGGACTCCTCATCTGGCCTCTCCATTTTTGTATCCTAGCCTAGAAAAATCATATCTTTGGCATTAGAAAACTGGGGTAGGTGGGCAGATAAAGGATGGATTGCCATATAAGTCTATAGCTACAGAAGAAAATAAAATGGGGGAAATGTTCAATCTCCTCCATGAAAGGAAAAAAAACTCACCCGTTAAGAACAATATATTTAACTGCTTCTATTGGTCAAACAAGAATGTCTGATAAAAATGGAAACTACTAGATTGATCTGAACCAGGCAAGCAAGCAAATATTCCATGGATGAATTCTTGTTTCAATAGAATTGCACCTGCCTGATGATTTTATTTGCTCCACCTACAGGGCCTTGAAGAAATCTGCAGCCCTTTGGATGGATGCCTACTATGAAACATGAAGCAGAACATCTGCCTTAACATGTGTTTAATTGCATCTCTGATGGGGGGTGGTGGATGTGCAAGAGCTCCTCCCTGCTTAACTGGGAATTAATTAGCACATTGGCATGTCTGAGTGTGCCAGGAATAATCATCCCACAGACATATGATAACCCTCTCCAACAAGATCTCTGCGAATGAGAAACAGAACAAACACAAGATTACTTTGGCCAGGATTACAAAAGGGAAAAGGGAGCTCATTGTTTTTATTTTTTCATTAGGATCTTGAACTTAACAGACCTTAGTTGGGTCATCTCAATCAAGGGGCAGAAGTGCAGGAACTAGGTAAAAGTTTTACTGAAGAAGTAGAGATAGGATAAGTGGAGAAAGCCAAAGGAGAAACATCTGATGGGGTACTTTGGAAAACAATGTACTTGCTTTTGGAAAATAATGTTGTATTTAACAAATTTCTATTGAAGCACAAATTTTTATTTCTTTTCAAATATATGAACTTTTTCTTTAAAATTAAACATGATTAACATTAAAATCTCTTCAAATATTTCAATATTGATTTTGGATTTTCATTATTGTACCAACATATATTACAAAGTAGATATATACATACATTAGGGTGTGTGTATATATATATATATATACACAATTGGTCTCCAAATGGAGAAATTAATACATCTATAAAATTTCTTAAAGAAACTTCTAACAATCTCTCAACAGCAATAAATCAAGCAGATTAGTGTTCTATGTTTTATATTTAGAGTTGTCTTACATTCAGCTAAACAATAGACTGTTCCTTGAGTGTAAAATTTGGTTGCCTATTCTCTACTGACTTGTGCAAAATAACCACTCTGATAAGAGAGAGTTTCTTTTTCTACACTGGAGACCTTAAGCTATGGCAATACATTTTTCAAGTTTGGCACTAAATACCTCTTAGGACAAGAGAGCTTTCTCTCACACAAGAGAATTTCAGTACTCAAAGGATGGGTGGACAGTCTCGGGACCATATAGAGCCCTACCGTGTTTACTTCTGCTCAGCTATGCATGGTGAACGGATTGAAGCTGATCTTAACTGCAGGGAGGGGAAGTACAATAGCATGAATTGCCTTCTCTAGCTCCAATCGATCTGCACTATTGGTTTATCCATTGTCTGAAATTCTACCAGTAAGCACTCATTCCCTCACACCAAACTCTGTAATACACTGTCTGGGTTTATTTGTTTCTCAATCAAATCCTGAGTGAAAGACAAGAGAGTAAATCACTCAGGGCCCCTAAGGAGCTACCCAAGCAAGCCAAAGTTAAGAAAACAAGAACTACTTATCTAGGAGGAAGAAGAATTAAAATGGGAATAACACCAACTGAAAAGGTTGAACAGATGATGAAAAGGGTGAAAATCTCTGTTGATTTCATGATTCCTCATGGTGGATGTGGCAAGAGCTCAGATTTTCCTGCTAATGGATCTATAGATGATTTCTTCAGCCTGCACAAAGGTGCCAGGAAAGTGAGGGCGGGTGGGTATAGCGGTTAGTGTTCTGCATACCCTCATCCAACTCCCAGAGATTCTCAAGAATTGTTTGTCTTTCTGGTCACTAGAAATAGTAACCTGACCCCTCCCTGGGCAAACCTAATTACTTCAAAGGCTTTCCCCCACTCTGTTAAAACTAGTCCATTTTGTAGTTCCACAAAGTGTTGGTTACTGTGTAACTTTGAAGGCACCTGGGAGATTTGGTAGGTTTGGATAGGGGAAATGTGAAACCAGTTTTAAAAAAAAGAAAAGTACTAGGCTATCTTGATCTTTCTTTTCTTTGTGGAAGCTTTTGATTCATACTTTAGTTTCCTCGATCATTATTGATCTCCATATTTTCTATTTCTTCATGATTCAACCTTGGTCAGTCATATGTCTCTAGGAATTTATCAGTATCTTCCAGGTCACATAGTTTGTTGGTGCATAATTGTTCATAGTGATCTCTTATGATCCTTTGTATTTCTGTGGTTTACAAAAAGATGTAAATAAAACAATATCTTCTTTAAGGATTCATAAACATATAGTAACATTATAAAAAGAACCAAGAGAATAGTAAATACAAATTGAGAGTCATAGTGGGAAAAGAAGCCAGATGTGAATAAAAATTTATCCATGGAGTAAATTTTAACTTGTTTATTGAGTTGCTAGTCAATAAAATTATCAGTTTCCTGAGTTCACTATCTCATCTCATTTCTCTCTCTCACCTTGAGGTGATTGGTGCTTGCATTTGGTGAAGCACTGACTATGTATCTATAGCTTACTCAATATGCTTTCCTGAGAAAAACAAAAAACTATTGAGCTCAGTTCTCCAGACCACAGAGCACTGAGTTAAAATCTACATGACCAATACTGCAAGTCATTTAACTTCTGCCCTTCATGCTATAAGGCTCTCCTCCATGGGTAAATGAATGAAAGTGGTTTAATCAGTCACATTCCTGCCTCTTTAAACCACATGACTCCTAAGAGTTCAGTTTCATCTCTACCTGAACTGTTCAATTGATTCTTACGACTCCAGGAATAAAGACCAAGCTGTAAGACTGTCCCCTGTGTCCTTCCCCACTTGTGGCACTCTGGCTGCTGACCCCTCTACAATAGCCTCAGTGACTATCTAGGTTTCACACACTCTTCTACCACTGGTCTTTGCTCCTGATGTCTGAACCACTTCTCTTTTGGCTTGCTATGTTCATAGAAAAAGGGATTGCTGGCTATTTTATGTACACAATGAATATGTGTTAAAAGAAGGAATGAATCGATAGATAGATGCTAATTCTGAGGAGTTGTGACTTAAAGTCCTTCTTGTTCTCTCAAGAAAATACATCTTTTTGTATAATAACTCATCAGAAGTTTCTTTGTATCCTTGATTTTTTATGGCTATAGATGAAATTTACACTCCATGGCTGGAAAATCATTTAAAGTTTTTTTATTGTAAGATTTTCCTGATAATAAACAAAAATTTGTTAATGCAATTAATCCTAATAGATAAATTTTATAAAATGTGTGAGAATTTGATTTATATTCAAATTCCAAATTATTAAATTTAAAAATTAGTGTGATAAGAGCATACTTAACCTATCCTTTTACATATTTTACATGTACAATACACTATTGTTGTCTGTATGTGCAATGTTGTAAAGCAGATATCTGGAAATTATTATTCACCTTATGTAAATGAAGCTATACCCATTACTCTTGGCACCTTTAACAGACTTTCTGAAAACCAAAGTTTTAAATTTTCTGGACTTTTGACATCTCCAGGCATTATTTATCAACTAACAATTGCCCATCACTCCCAGCTCCTGTCAACCACTTTACTATTCTTTGCTTCTATGAGTTAGACACTTTTAGATCTCATATTATTAAAATCATACAGTATTTGTTATTCTGTGATTGGTTTATTTCACTTTGTGTCATGCTTTTAGGGTTAATTCATGTTGCCACATACAGCAGGATTTCTAGTTCTTAGATATTTATTTATTTATTAAAAGATAAGGTGATGAAGAGAAAGGAGAGACAGAGAGAGGTCTTCCATCCACTGGTTCACTTCACAGATGCTCACAATAGCCAGGACTGGGCTAGGTACAAGCTAGGCACCCAGAACTTCATCTAGGTCTCTCATGTGGGTGGCAGGGACTCAAATACTTGGGTATCAAACAAAAGTAGCCAGGACTCTGGCACATACTTGGATATAAGATGCAGGTATTCCAAGCAATAGCTTAAACAATTAGTTCACAACATCCAACCCAGATTTCCATTTTTGAGGCTGAATAATATTCCAATGTATGCATAAATATATACCACATGTTTTTAATTATTTATTTATTTAATTATACCACATTCATACATTGATGGAGATGGAGATTCTTTCCACATCTTGGACATTGTAAATAATACTGTAATGAACATGAAGATACTATATATCCTTAAGATCCTGTTTTCAATTTTTTTTATTAAATACCAGAAGCAGGATTGCTGGGTAAAATTCTTACCAATACTTATGAGCATTGTGAGTATTAATCAATAAATACTGAGCCATACACCTAGTGGGTTTTATTCCATTTAATCCTCATAATAATATCAAGGTAAAGGTGTTATGATTAACTCATTTTATCTTAAATGAAAAACCCAGGAATTAGGGAAGCCAATCAATTTGCTTAATTTCACAGATAGAAGTTGAATGAGTAGTTTCAGGCCCAGGAATATCTGACTCAACATCCAGAGCCCATTAATTCCAAAGTCAAAGATCCAAAATCAAGAGAAATTAATAAGCTCTAAAATATGGGGCATTGGCATTTTTGGAATATGTCTAATAGCTTCCTAGGAGCTGATAGAATGATCATTACAGTAGCTAACCCTCCACCCTAGCACATTCCACCAGAACAGGGACCTGGGCAGGGTAACACAAGAGGAGCCTCTAAGAGTCACAAAAGCAGCCTAGAAATAATTCCATTGACCATCTCCTACTCAATAATCTTTAAAGAGTAACCAGTCAAGGGAAATTTCAGTTGAAGACAGTGAAGGTGAGGTTTAACATTTCAAAAGAGACAGACACAGCATTAAACATGAAAGAACAGCGTGGAGGGATTGATTTGACATTTTGAAGTGGCATTGCATGGATTTAGTCCATGGAAAATTCATCTTCCCTGTGGATATCTTCACATGGCTTTTTCTGATATCCTATTTCCTCTTAGGCCTCACAATTCTTGGCAAAATTAAGCAATGAAAATTTGCCTATTTTTCCAGTTGGGAGTTAATTAGGGGTGACTGGATTAAAAGTCAAGAACCTAGTTTTTAATTTCAGCTCAATAATTTAGTAGTACTTTATAAGGCACTTGGCTGGGTGGCTTACATTATACCACAAGCTCTGCTTCCATAAAACAGGTGTGGTGCGTATTATGTGGCAAATGCATGCATCAAAGCATGGTTGTAATAGTCAAATGGAGGAAGATAAATGGAATGGTTTCATAACCAGGAACACCCATTCAGATTCTGATTATTGTTATTACTCTAATGAGGGTTTCTCTCATCACAGGCCTACCAAAAGCAAGAAAGGCCGTAGAGTCACACAGATCCAACAAATGGAAGGACACCGAATCATTTTAACAATGACAGGGCCAGCTTTCCCCAGATGAAAGGCTTGTGAGTCATAAATGAGACAGTGATTTCTCCTGTTGCAATGAGTAACACCCCCGAGTCACCTTCCACTTCCGACTGTATTAAATCTCCTAGAACTAGCATCCACATCCTGGGCTTGTGCAGCAGTAAAGAGCCTGAGTTTAATGATCCAAACTTCCAGTTAAACACGGTGCACAACTCTCATTGTTGGAAATCTTGCTAAATATACCATGTGTTGCTTAATTGAGGTCTATGAAGGAGTTTCTTAATTGTTCCCTTGTTAGTCATCCACCCTCTTGATACAGTCCTAGAGATGCGGAAAATATAAGGCATTGATGCTAAACTCTACTGAGGGCAGGAATATACGCAGGTGCTTTTTCTTTCCCAAAATTGTTTATATGATTTTGTAGCCAGCA